GAAAAGATGCCCAAGCCGGTAAACTCGGTAAACGATTCATGGGAAAGGGCGAGAGGGAGGGAAGCGGTTTGCGAGTAGAATCCCTGATGCAGGTATTCTCATCACGGCAAAGCCACATTGCGAAATGGGGTTGACGTTCGGATACTGGTGAACGATATTACGGATATGAAGATCTCTATAAAAAAATCCTTCTTCAAAGAGAGTGATTTCTTCATCAGGAGTTTACATTCCATTCTAAGTCCAGGGCTTGTGGACTTAACTCTCAGTCCGTCCCACAGACCGGAATCTCTCAGCTCAACCACGCAACGCGCGATTCTAAACCGAGAAGCCTAGAGAAGAAAACCAAGAGGGGAGCCTCAATTCGAAGTTCTTGGTTCTCTTTCATGTTCGGGTGCTTGGTGCGCTTTGAACTTGAGGACCTCGGAGCGCGAGGTTTGGGCTTGGAGTTTGTGGGTTCGCGTGGAGTTTGTGGGTTCGCGTTTAGGGTCTTGGGGTTCAGGGTTTCGGGAACTTGGGCTGAGCCAAGGGTCAGGGCAAGGCGTGCAGAACGGGATGGGGCATGGAAGACCACCCCGTCTCGTTTTCTCATTTGTGTCGCCTGCCTTCCTCGATCCGCAACACCCGGCCAACATATGCGGCATCCTTGCTATTTATCCCAGGTTTTAAACCCCCAACTCTCTGCGACCCTTAGCTTCACGATCCCGAAGCCCTAAGGCAAAACGCACCAAACTGCAGCGCCGAGGTGGCGGATGGCCTGAAGGCCGTGTCGCTGACCATGGACAAGCTCGTGGATGAGGGAGAGGCTGTGTCTTTTGGCATTGGGCTTACAGTAGAAGCCAGAAAGTTGAAATATCATTATCGTAATTAACCCCTTTAAGGTAAATTATAGGGGATCCTACCAGTAGTCCATATTCCAACTTTCTGGAGCTCCCTGTAGGGGTTTAGGGATTAGATGGGTTTAGGGCCTCGGGATTATCTAGTGTCTCGGCTTTCGGCCTTCGGATTTCGAGAGTTTCACAGGGGGGGTTGCTTGGCTCTTGTGGCAGTCCCATGGGGCTACGAGGATTCGTAGGGGCTTGGGGTTTAGGCTTGTTGTCTCGCTTTGGGTGGGTGGAAGTTTCGGGATGTTGGGTTGCTGTGTCATGGACAGTCCCTGCACCCTCTAACTTACCTTTGGTTACCAGGGAATGGAGGAATGGGGCACAATAAAACAACTACTATTACTACCATTCTTCCATTCCCTACTATCCAAAGGTAAGCTAAACCTAACCCGAAACCGTACGAGTCATCAGTCGGGCGACCGGATACATCTCCTCATGCGCCAGCGGACCACATCATGAACAAATGGGAGTTTCCGAAAATAGGGGACCCCAATATAGTACCCTGAATAGTAGGATCCTTAATATAAGGACCCCCCAAATAAGGTACCCCGAATTTTCGGAAACTCCCAGATGAACCCTCAAGCATCTTGCCAGAATCAACTCTTCAACCCTTCGGGGGCACCTGGGTGGTTGTCAAAATCAGGGTCCATTTTTGGGATTATAAGTATAATACGGCACCTAATATTTAGGGGACCCCAAATGGGACCATGATTTTGACAACCACTCACTCGTAGCACCGGGATGCCTTTCTCCAGCTTCACCTCACACCGCCCAAAGCTCCGCATGCAAAGCAATTAGCCTTGAAACACTCATCGCCCTAAATCCTTGAACCCCGAAACCCTTAAAACCTGAACCCCTCAACCCTAAACCCCAAACCCTACTAAACCTGAACCCCTCAACCCTAAACCCTACTAAGCCCACCCACCCTAACAATCATTAAATCTAATGCTGAAAGCTCAACCCTCTGGAGCCTCAGATCTCGAAGTGAAAACTTGGCATGCTCGGATGCCGCATTGTGTAAGGTAGCCCGCATGAAGTGGGTGGTTGTCGAAATTATTGTCCCTTTTTGGGTCCTTATTATAATGCGGCACCGAATATTTAGGGTACCCGTCTTAACCGGGGATCTAAATCCAGCTTGGACCCATTAGCCCCAAAGCCCGAAACCTCAAGACACGGAACCCTAAACAAGAGCCTTACAGCCCTGAACCCGAAAAGCCTGAACCTGAAACCCTCTCCTCCCATGCCCCTGCAGACTTTCACCACCATCGATGACGAGCACTTCGGCATCCTTTGAGGCTTGTGAAAGGAGGTTAACAAGTGCCCTTAACAGTAGTGGTTTAGGGTTTGGGGTTAGGGGTTTAGGGTTTACTGTCTTGTTCTTGGGACTACTACAGGGATCCATTCCCCCATACCCTACTAAGAACCAGACAGTGCAGGGGTGCTTCCACTTGGGCATATGCGGATTGTGTTTTGGAGGCTGCACAAGGGGTTTTGCAACAGGGGCTTTGTTCGGTGGTGGTGGTTTATAGTTTCTGTCAGGGGTTCTGGTACGGCACGGAATCTCGTAAACCCGACGCCTAAGTCCGAAAACCGTATCGCAGTCTCATGATTTAGAAAAGTTTTTTGAAGCAATGTTGAACTTCAGGAGGGATCACGAGATCTGGCTACGGCTGCGCCGCACATGCTCGCGCGTGGTATGCCAAAGTGTTGATGACCGGTTGTTGACGACGTGACGAGTTCTGCAAGGGTCGCACAAGCCGTCCCCAGGAATGGTAACATATGTATGTATATATATATATATATATATACATATATATGTGTGTACGTATCTACACCCTACTCGCGAAAGCCTTCCAGTAGCCCTAATCCCGAATCCTTACTTCTTATCAGCCGGACGCTTGAAGACCCCCTTACAGTTCGAGTACAGAAAAGTAAGTTCTTCATCCACCGTTGCCAGGCTCGTAGCTGACGAATGTGAGCGCAGAGCACCGGGCAATTCCCAGGGCCCTCGATTTCGGAGTTTTGAGTGATTTCTGCTACATGCCAACGCATGTCAATGCCAACGCCTAAGATCTAAGAAGGCCGCCACTGGATTCCTTTACAATTTGATCTTATTGGGTTTATGGGGCTCTTGATTGAGAGCATTATCAGAGTATGCCAATCGAACTATCATTGAACAACCCATGCAAAGCTCTCCCTGCACGCCAGACTGGGCTCAGGGTTTAGATTGCATTAAGGCTTCGGTTTTGGGGAGAGTGTGGGACAACACTTCACTGTAGATTCGACTGTTGTAGTTAAGAGTACGAAGGGTATTAGTTGCTGGTAATATACTCTTCCGGGGCTCGTTTTTCTAATGAAAGCATGATACCCTGTTCTAGTTAATTATTCAGACCCCATTATCAAGCGGTCGGGCTTGCGGATTGCGATACTTACGGCTTAGGAGGATGATGGGCCCCTGGAACATGGAGCATCAGAAAGCGCCGGCTCAACCCGCGATGCCGGGGAGTGCGTAATGCCCAGGGGTTGGGTAGCTTGCAGGGTCACTGCAAAACCTTAGCCGAGTCCTCTACAGTGTCCGACAGCCTGAACTATCACTTTCGGCCCAAAGCAAAAATTCCCTGCCTATCGGACCGAGCAAGAAGGTCGTGAGTTCCGTAAGTGCCGAACCTTTTGTAGAACCTTTCCTAAACCCTATAAGACCCTTAATTACTTGTAAGGCCCGATATGAGCCCCTTTTTGGTTGAACCAAGATAAACTTCACCACTTGGAGTCACGGTACACTTTTCTCAGCTTGGTCACAGGAATTCTCTACATCCTATAGCCACGCAATCTTTTGCCTGTCCATCAAGCAGCATCGCTGCAGTACGTTCGTTTAGGGTCGTTAAGGTCCCTGTTTGATCAAGCTACCCAGCGGGGATCGGGCATTATGAGGGGGATCCCCTTGCGCGGAAATCGGAGAAGCCTTTATGAACAGGCGTTCGACAAGAGCTTGGGGCAAGTCGTTGCTGGTTTCAAAACAAGGCTTCTGAGCCTACAGTCAGTGTACTGTCAGCGAGTGGTTGGTGATAGCGAGCCAGAACAGCTAGTTTTGGTAATTACATTAGTGGACATTAAGGCGGATAGCTAGCATGAAGCACTGCAGCAGCAGCAACAGTAGTAGTAATAACAGTCGTCGTCGTCGCGGCAGCCGCTGCCGCAGCAGCTTCAGTATCAGTCGATCCTCACAAATGACCTCGATCTGAAACTAAAGCCTAACGAAGTGGAAAGAAGTGACGTAGCGTTTGAAGGTATATAGCTATAGTATGTACTATGAACCCTAAGGAACAGCATTTTATTTCAGGTGCAGCTTGAAGTTTTGCTCTTGCCACGGGAGGGTTCAGGCATTTTCAGCAGCATGAGCTGTTCCTGAACGGAGCCCACAGAACCCCACCTTCTGACCCTATAAGTGTTCGGATGAAATTCGCAACTGGGTCCGAAACCCTAGACCAACCTGAGTCTTTGTGGGTATCGGATTTAGGATTCGAAAAGTCCCCGATCCGCAAGTTAGAAGCCGAAAGAGTGGCTTTGCTTATCCAGCAGTGTTTGTTGTTCGGAGCCCTACTGTTGGTGCAACCGTTTTCTCGCGTGAAATTCAGGTCATACTTCGTGTAGGGCCTGAGCGTCGCAGGAAATGGGGGTTGTTAGGGTTGTACGGTCTTGGGTTTGTCTGGGCCACTCGTGGCTAGACTTTAGGGGTGTTTCCGCTTTAGCTGACCCACAAACTTCTCGAGGTTGGGACAAATGTAGAATAGTTAGCAACCTGGCCCCGTTGCAGTCCCCATTGCCCCTAAGTCCAACCGGCTCACCACATGAAGCCGCCGCAAACTCTAGAACACGCGATTCTAAGTACGATAGTAGCCTACATGATCACCAACACTATTCTTAGGGTTTCTTGTTTTGATTATAGTAAAAATATGCTCCAAAACCCTGTTCTAATTATTGAGGCCCCTGTATTAGGAGGCCCGAAGTTTCGGCTGGCACGCTCCATAGAATTAGGGGTACCTATTTTGGGGTCCTTATGATAAGAACCCTACTATTTAGGGTCCCCCTATTTCCTCTCCATCTTGGAATCAATGCCAGGCCGGCCCAAGATCCACAGGCGCACGCTGCGCCAGCTTTGTAGCAGACACTCAGGGTTTAGGGTTTAGAGGTTTAGGGGTTTAGGGTTTAAGGGTTTAGGGTTTAGGGTTTAGGGATTTAGGGATTTAGGGTTTAGATCTTCAGGGCTTTAGGGTTTAGGGCTTTAGGGTTTAGGGTGTAGGAAGGGCTTTATGGCATCGTGCCCGTGCCGGTTTGCTTTCAGCTCCTTCCCCCAAGCCCTGTTCCCCGCAACCCTGGATGTTGTTCGAAGAATCGAGTTGTAAGACTTTGTCGATCGGAGCTCCTCAATTTTCAGAGGGGCGTTGCTGTGCTTCATCGCCCCCAACGTGTCCTAACCACAGTCTGGCGTAAATTATCCTCAGAACTATCTGGTGTCGTCCTCTTTGGTCTGCGGGTACATGACTTTTAGAGGTCATCAGCATACGTGCCGTCCTCATCGGTCACGCTCAATCACTGGGCCGCCGTACCCTATACCTTCAAGCCTACCTGTAACTTCCGACTTTCACAATATGGGTATTTGTTTCAAAGCAACCACAAGTCCACCTGAAACTTAGCCCAGCCCCGTGGATTAGAGCGCAGGCCTACATGGGTTATTCGCAGATTCAGATGCCTGCTGCCGGTGACATGTCCGCCCGGCTCTTAGCTGCTGTGGCTTGAGGCTGAATAACCTATTTCCTCGAGTGTTCACCCCTAAACCCTAAACCCGTAAAAGCTACGGCGCTGCGCCACACAACTATAGCACAAATCGACTCGGGTCGGGGAAGGCTTGTCATCTTATCAGCTGCAAGACATGGAAACCGACCCATAAGGCTCTAGGGTTTAGGTTTAGGTTTGTTCCAAAACGGCTAACACAGCCAACCCTGCCCAAAAGAAGCCTGAACCTCCAACAATTACTTTCTTCAACCCTCTGCGCAGCTACAGCTCCTCAAATCAGACACAATAGGTCATAGAAGTCATTCGTGGGGAGTTTGCCGGCATGTTTGTCTTCAGGCATCGGGAATGCCAGCCATGCAACAGGCACACGCTTGGTAATGGCAGGGTAATTTGTAGGTGCGGGGTTTTAACTTGCTTTGATTTATGGTTTAGGGGTTTGGTTTGGGACCTATATGCCTCAACCCCAAACCCGTGAACTTCAAGCTCTGCTTAAGGCTTACGATCCAGAAGGTTTGAAGCACAAACCCTGAGCATGAAACTCAACCTTTTCAACTCCAAGGTTCGTGCTTTTGGGTTTACACGTGTCCATTAGCGCTTCCCGAAAACCGAAAGCAGAGTCCATGACGCTACCTGGAGAGTCAGCAAGCGAGCAAGAGACATATTCATACGTACAGATGTTTGCATGCACGCAGGCGTGCACCTATGTACGTACGCACGTATGCATGTACCAATGTGTGTAAACACAATTGAACACATAAAACATATGTGTGTGTATATATACATATACATATGTATATATATATATATATATAGTAATATGTGTTTTGCATTATGTGTGTGTGTGGTATGTGTGCTTCTTGTTTGTGAACTCAAGTCACTCTTTGTGTGTTTGCGTTTATATATGTACATGTGTATATGCTTATATGCATATACGTATATATGTTTATATGCATGTACGTATATATGTATATATGTATGTGTAGATGTAGACGTAGACGTAGATGTAGATGTAGATGTAGATGTAGATGTATGTGTATACGTATGTGCATGTGTATGTGGCTGTGTATGTGTATGTATGTGTATATATATATATATATATATATATATGTGTGTGTGTGTGTGCATGTTCACATAGGTGCCAGGTAGGGTTTAGGAGTTTAGGGGTTTGGGGTTTAAAGTTTAGGGTAAGGTGCGAGGTTTACGACCCTGGACAGCTCAGCCCTACCCGACGATGCAGGGAGCGCCAGCTGCTGGTATGCCGCAGGTCCGGGTGGGCCTGGGGTTTAGGATTTAGGGGTTAAGGGTTCAGGGTTGAGGGCTTAGGGTTCAGGGTTTGGGGTTCGGGGTTTAGGGCTTAGGGTTCAAGGGTTAGGGTTTAGGACATATGGTTTAGGGCTTTGGGTTTAGTGGTTAAGAGGCTAGGGATTTAGGGTGCAGGGATTTAGGATATGGGATTCAAGGATAGGGATTAGGGTTATTTGTTTCAGATTCCTGGTTCAGACATCCATAAGTGGAGGAGTCTTAGGCGCTGCATGTCAACATAGGGGGTAGGACTCTAGGACTCTCTATGGTGAGGTCATCGATTTCAGCCGATTCCCAGGGGGTGGACAATTGAACACGTCATTGACTCCAGCACAGGCATTTCTTAAACTGGCACATTGGCTTCGCCAGGACGTGCTGAGTGGTATTGGCGGACCAGTAGGTTTGTTACCATACAAGCCATTGGAGACAGTGTTAGACGCCTCCTTTAAGCGCAGCGACGGCAGCGGCGGCAAATAGAGGTGGCACAACATGTCATACCTGGCAAGTGCTGGAGAGCCTCATGCTGGATCTTCTGTCTCAACGCATGCCCGCTCAGGGCAAGCTGTGCCGAGAGCTCTGGGTGCGTCGGCCTAGTACACCTCTTAATTTTAGAGGTCTGCTGCAAGGTCGGCAAATCTGGCATGGAATGCGTGGCCGGCCCAAAGGAGCCGCAGCTGGTGAAACGGCTCAGCCGCTACAAGACGAGATTCGCCTAGAGTTCCTTCCCGTAATTTACATTACGGCTACAAGTGACCAGGAGGTCCTACTTGAGGGATTCGCCCGCGCTCACATGACTGCTTTCGAACGGCCATGCGGAACAAGTAGAACTCGAGTACGAGAGCCACAAACATGAGAACCTTCGATGAGATACTAGGCTCCGGAGTAGTACCCTTTTGCCTTTTTTAGTTTAGGGTCCCCTTACTAAAACCGAAGAGGAGGCAAAAGGGTACCCTTATCATGAAGGGGCTACTCAGGAACCTGGGATACTTTGTGTCCCGAGCCCAGGTCAGAAGCAGAGCTAAACAGTAAAACGTAAGCTTAAAGCATCCCTATCCCAACAACAATCCATATAGCGGTCTGACTATTTAGCAGCAGTATCCTTTGCAACCCCTCTATAGTGACCCATGGGCCCCAAAGTAGTTCCTTTCGGGGATTACCTAATAGGATTCTAAATATGAACCCCAAAAAGGAACTACTTTAGGGCCTTAGGGTATAGGGTACACACTCAGTATAGCATACCCTGTTCGAATGATTAAGGCCCGCGCCGGCACAGGCCATGGACGACCTGGAGGGCCATTCCCAAAAACCGAGGAAACGGTTTAGGGTTTAGGGGCTATCAAAAAAGCGAGCAACTCGAAGTCTTTTAAGCCATAATAAACCCCCCAACCCCCACCCAACCATAGCCTGTAACCCTTCAAATGCCCACATGCGAATAAACGGTACCATTCGGTTGATGTGGGGCTTTGGGACTGCAGGGGCAGCAGATGCCGCCTTGAGACGAACACCTCCGCCGCCGGGTGGGAAGGCAGCGAGGGAAGGTCGAGCTTGTAGTTAAGAGCAAAGGCTACACGATGAGCCGCAATCCTCGAACCCTCCATTCCAAAACTTGAACCCCGAGTCCTACACCATAAACTCACACTCTACATCCTGAGGGTTTCAGAGATTCGAGTTGTTGCTTTTGGGTCGAATTTGTTCGTATTTAAAGAATTGGGGCGAGGGCCCCAGGTCCCGTTTAGGTCTTGGGAGGAGTGGGGTTCACTCTTTGGAGGGTTTAGGGAAGTTTAGGGTTTAGGGGTGCAGGGCTCTGGAGTTCAGGTTTAAGGTTTACGTAATTTAGGTTTGGGGTTTAGGAGTTTAAGGTGACGGCATTTAGGTTTGGCTGGAGCGTTCACAGTTTCGGTTTGCAGACGCCTGAATGCCTGTTATCATCCTGTTTACGGGAGGGTGCTTATTGCTTGCGGCTCTGCGCTTGCCACGCTGTAGAGGCCCAATAAACGCCAATACTACTCAGTTGTGGACTCCTCATTATGGTCATAGCAAGGTATACCCCCAAAACTCTCTCCGAAGTATTAACGCCCCCGTTTGTACACCCCAAGCCCAGAACCGTGGGGTCCCACGCTTTTAAATTGCGAGGCGGGCTTGGTCTTAAGGTTCCAAGTTCGAGCCTTAGGGTTTAGGTTTTAGTTTAGGGTTTGAGTAAGGGTGGCAAATGCCTGAAACAAGGAATCATAATAAGGGGCCCTAATCCCCGTTCTGAGACTAGGGTTTTTGGGTATGCTGTACTATCATCCAGAACTCCAAGCCTTAAAACTGTTCAGAGCCGAAACCTCAGAGACGAGCACCTGTAAATTAGGGGAAGTAAGTTTCCTACAGATGCAGAACGTTGCCGGAAGCATCGTCTGAGATCTGAATGCGCTGAGCTCCAGAAAACTCCCTCCACAAGTCACACTTGATCCCGAAGTCTGAGCAGACCTCAGCTTACTTTGGTAGTCTCTGCCCTACTCTGCATGATGGCCCTCTTCCTCGCAATCTTGCTGTAGTGAGCTTCCACAATATGTGACAGCTGCCGGCAATCACCAAATAATTTGTGAAACCATTCGAGGCCTCGGATCCAAGACGAAGATCCCCCTCTTTTTCTGAAGCCATGTAGAAAGAAGGCACCCATCCTAAACGCTGCCAAGGGCAACTCATCCTGGGAATTGCGCGTGCGCTGGAAAGCTGAAAAAGCCTGGTGGTGTCTCCCCTTCCTGGATATTAGCATCTAAGGATTTGGCCTCACGGCTTGGGGTTAGTCACAGCACCAATTTTGGGCCTCTGTCCTTATGGCAGGGTTGGGGGTTTGGAGCCAAGGGGCTGTGAAGCCCTTCAACCCAGACAACGAAAGGGTGAACCTGCCTGTGCCGATGGCTCTGCACCCGAGGCGTCCTCTGCCTACACAGCTGCACCGGATGCCCCCGAAATCCACAAAAATCGTTGGTGATGTGCCGCTTTACTGTACGATTTTCATCTGGCCATCCTACTACGTATCGGTCCCTCGTGTTCTGAGGCTAACAAATCTTCTAACCGCCAAACCGATACCCAACCCTACATGCGTACTCCCACACGAGGACCACATGCAAGAAAAAGGCCAGCCTCCGACACTGATCAGCCTGCCTCGAGGGTTGGTGCTGCTCATGTCCCTTCATCCCTTTCAGCCAACTTGCGCGAAGACGAAGGAGGCCTTAATAATTACCTATACTATGTTGAGGGTTCCTTATTATATAGTTATGATATAACGGGCTCCAAAACCCTACATGCATGTATCTGAGACTGGTCCAAGGGGGCAGGCACAGTCACCCCTCAGCCACTGACCCCGAACCCCACATGCCCCCTATGCAGGCTAAACAGCGAAGCCCGAACCCTGAGATCATGAAGCTTAAAACAACCCTAAAGTTCTGAAACCTGCAAACCCGAGGACAAAGCCGAACGCGTCAAAAACAAAAGCACAGCACCGCCAGCTCGGAAGAAAAAGGAGCTAGCCCAACAGAAACCCTTGCAAGGTTGAACACCGGAGGCCAGAAGCTCCCCAAAACAGAGCCCGTGAGTCATGCGCACTTCTGAGAACCACTACCTGTAGGCTCATACCGTACCCCTTTTTTTAGGTACCTAGTTCTTTAGCGAAGATCTGTTGTTTACAAAGTTAGGTAAACCAAAAACGGGGTAGGGTACGAGGCTCTAGGTACAGTCAACTCGGCCCGAACCCCTTCGCCCCTAAGGCACCGCGCCCCCAAAGTCTGAAGAACTTGGTACATGTTATCCTTGACTTACATTAAGTAAAGCTCCGAAACCGCTGGATAGAAGCTCTGGAGCCCAGCGAGCTTACAGCCCTCACCATTGTAAGTCCTAAGCCACAAATGAAACGTCAGATCTAGATATGCCATGGCCCGCAGTCGCAGCCGGAGCCGGAGCCGCAGCAGAAGCCGCAGCAAAAGCCGCAGCCGCAGCCGAAGCAGCAGCAGCAGCAGCCGGAGTGCCCCACGTCGCCGGAAGCAGAGGAGAGGGAAACAAGGGAGCCAAAACTATGTAGCAGGAGCTGTTGTACAAGGACCATGAACTTAACGAGCACCCAAAGTTGTCAAAAATTGGTACAGTACCTTCAAAGATTCGGAGCGCTCGTCTGACATAACTTCTGTTTGAGTGATTACAAGACACCGTTCTATCCACGTCGGACCATTCTAACAAGTGCGAGGAAGCAGTTCTTCGTCATGGGCACTAGTTTACAGGCTTCCGAAAAGAGTGCCTAAAAGCCGGAGACCCATAACCTTTGCCCAGACTTATACACTTCTAGGGTTTAGGGTTTAGGGTTTAGGGCAGCAAGATGTTGAATCCGAAAGCCCCTAAAACTTGAAGCCCCTAGCTCCAAGCCTTGCAACATGCGAGAACCCTACAGCCCTAAACCTCTAAAGCACCGGAGCCCTAAGACCTTAACCCAGAACCCCAAAGCCTTGAGATGTGTAGTTCTCACCTTGAAGTCCCAAAAGCCCGAAAGCCCTGAACCCTAATCCCTATAGCCTAAACCCCGAAACCCGAAACCCTAAGCCGTGCCCTAAGCGCACGACTCGCCTGGATGAAGGCGCCGCGCTCGCTCCAGCCCGTCGCGGCGGAGGTCGAACTCGGCAGGGCGGCAGCTACTTGGCTCTCCAAACATGTTTGTACATATGTACACACACGTACGCATATTGTGCGGCATATCTTGTGTGCGGCCCCGCCTCACTAATAGTGGGCAGAAACAGAAGCACAAGATGAAGCACCAGGAAAATGCTGAAATGTTGACTCGTTTGTGATCATGCTCGCATGAATGGAAAACGCAAGACTGAGACAACAAGTAAACTGCCACCCCATGAGTTGCAAACACAGTCACACCCCTGTTGTTTTCTCGGATTCGATCTTGAGCAAACATCAGGAGCTGCAATGCCTCTGCGCGGGGCGGGGGGGGCTGGGGGTGCTGGGGGGGGCTGAGGGGGCTGGGCTGGAAAGCTGAACGGACGGGGGGGGGGGGGGGCGGGCTGAGGCCGGGCCGGGGTCTGGCCTCTTCGACCAAGTTTAGTACTGAGAGGCGTACCCGGGCGCGACATTTCGATCACAGAAACCTCTTTTCTGTTGTGCTTTTCTTGTGCTCGAAACGATCCGATTGTGTTTTTTTTTGTGCTTTTCTTGTGCTCCAAAAACCAAACGTGTTTGTATGTTTGTGCTTTTCTTGTGCTCGAAACGCTCCGGCTGTTGTGCTTTTCTTGTGCTCGAAACGCTCCGATTGTGCCTTTATTTTGTGCTTTTCTTGTGCTCCAAAAACCAAACGTGTTTGTATGTTTGTGTTTTTTTTGTGCTTTTCTTGTGCTCGAAACGCTCCGGCTGTTGTGCTTTTCTTGTGCTCGAAACGCTCCGATTGTGCTTTTGTTTGTGCTTTTCTTGTGCTCCAAAAACCAAACGTGTTTGTATGTTTGTGCTTTTTTTTGTGCTTTTCTTGTGCTCGAAACGCTCCGGTTGTTGTGCTTTTCTTGTGCTCGAAACGATCCGATTGTGTTTTTTTTTTGTGCTTTTCTTGTGCTCCAAAAACCAAACGTGTTTGTATGTTTGTGCTTTTTTTTTGTGCTTTTCTTGTGCTCGAAACGCTCCGGCTGTTGTGCTTTTCTTGTGCTCTGTCTGTACTCTTTCTGCAATCTAGGCAGGCCTCCGGGCTCGTTTCCGCAAACGTGTTTGCATGTTTGTGCTTTTTTTTGTGCTTTTCTTGTGCTCGAAACGCTCCGATTGTGTTTTTTTTTTGTGCTTTTCTTGTGCTCCGAAAACCAAACGTGTTTGTATGTTTGTGCTTTTTTTTTGTGCTTTTCTTGTGCTCGAAACGCTCCGGCTGTTGTGCTTTTCTTGTGCTCGAAACGCTCCGATTGTGTTTTTTTTTGTGCTTTTCTTGTGCTCCAAAAACCAAACGTGTTTGTATGTTTGTGCTTTTTTTTTGTGCTTTTCTTGTGCTCGAAACGCTCCGGCTGTTGTGCTTTTCTTGTGCTCGAAACGGTCCGATTGTGCTTTTTTTTGTGCTTTTCTTGTGCTCCAAAAACCAAACGTGTTTGTATGTTTGTGCTTTTTTTTTGTGCTTTTCTTGTGCTCGAAACGCTCCGGCTGTTGTGCTTTTCTTGTGCTCGAAACGATCCGATTGTGCTTTTTTTTTGTGCTTTTCTTGTGCTCCAAAAACCAAACGTGTTTGTATGTTTGTGCTTTTTTTTGTGCTCCATGATTTCAAAACACATTGGCGCGCGGCAGTTCTGGTGCAAAATTGTCTCTGTCTGTTGTGCTTTTCTTGTGCTCGACGCAGTCCGATTGTGCTTTTTTTTTGTGCTTTTCTGGTGCTAGTTTTGCTCTGTCTCTCTGGCGGCCGGGCCAGTCCAGTCCCCGCGTCCAGGCCGTCTGAAAGAAGGTCTCCGGGCCCAGGTTGCGATGGTAACGAAACCGTGGTTCCAAACCTCTT